AATGTTTTTTACGACACTGACTTTCTGCAGAGCACCGTTCTTTTGACCAACCACTTTTCACTAACGCAATGAATTTAATAATAGCCCCTATCTTACACTTCTTACTACAAAAGAGCTAGGTGCCTAATTAAGTTTTTGACAGTAAGAGCGCGCAACCTGCCCCTTTTTTAACTTCAAAATAAATGTCATTACTACGTTAGCTCACAAAATCATTACTTCTATTGCAAGTTACGCTGAATTTTAAAACACTAGAAGAACGAAATAAAAAATATCTCACATGAGAGATGAATGAGATTATGCGGAAAACGGTCCGAAAGCTTTTACGGAAACTCTCTCATTTTATTCGAACGTCTAACGTGCTGCCAGATCGTTCAAGTTATCCTTCCTGTAGTTTGGTATTTGTTGAGCATTTCAAGGCACAAACAGCAAATGATTTGAGCGTGCACTAAGGTCGGTTTCAGGTGCCCACAAGATGCACAGGAACGAGAGGCGCGCCTTGCGCCACCGCTTAACCAGGAATTGTTACGGTTCCTATATTTTGCATTTGTAGCCCAGATGATGATGTCTGCATTCAGCGCTTGCTGCGTACTGTCGACCTCAGCCGACTGTGTAGGGAGCTTCATCATGACCAGAATAAATAAATATTGGCGACAGGACCACTCCCCAGGAGGTCCCTCGAGTGCCTAATTGATTCAAGCCATGTTCTGTGTCCTGTAGCCGGATATAGGATTGGAGAAGTTTATGTGAGAGAGAGGGAATATAACATTTATTTGCGACCGAGGAAAGTATATCGGTGAGTGGGCTCCTTAGTCCGGGATCCCATTGGCACGGGCCGCTGTCCACATTCGCCTCACGAGACCCTTTTGGGTCTTCAGATCTGACCTGGACAGAGCTGCCTCCCACCCTACAGTGTTGTGCTGTGCTCTGGGTTGTAGAGATGAATTGTGTGGGCATTACTATACCCTGTTATAAAGGGTGGCTGTTGTAGTGACGCAGAACCTGCACTGCGGTGCGCATGATTCGGGATCTATCTTGGACAGTATGTATTGATTGGGGTAAGACAAGCTCTGGAGGCGACGCCACGCTACCTAAGATTCTTTGCTGAGCTTTGTGCCCGGGGGCGGAAGTTTTTGGTCTTTCAAGTCTTTGATGTTCTAGAATATCTGTATATGTTAGGAACGGGCCCATACGCATAGCCGAGGGTGGGTGCGATATGCCGGGGGTGGAGGTCCAGAAGAGTAATTCTCGGCCCGAGGCATGGGTGAGCTCATTGCCTCTAACTGCGCAGTGGCCGGGTATTCATATGAGCTGCTTCCATTCGCCATCTGAGCGTGAGAACGAGAGTTGTGTAAGAAGACGATGCGCAATGGGGTCAATGTAACCTTTACAAAAAACTTCGGTAGGCTGTTTTTGAATCTATTAGAACGAAAGTGGACCTTGGGTTTTGTAGGGCGAGGGCGATTCCTGCTTCTTCCATACTAGTTGTGTCTGTGTCCTGGGCTGATATACAATCAACCTGTTTTCCACAATGAATGACGCTTGCTGTATATTTGCCATTCACTGGTCCAGGTGCATCGACAAAGAAGGCGCCCTCAGTGTCTGAGTAGTTGTCGTGAACTTTTGCCCGTGCCCGACATCGATGGTCGTGGAACTGAGGATGCATGTTGCGTGGAAGTGGTTTGATGAAGTCCTGCCTCCATTCATGTGGGATACGTTGTTTTCCCCTTCTCTCAATAGGGGCTTCGATGCCAAGTTCTCATAGTGTTTTCCGTCCCGTTTTATGATGGCGAGGCGCATTACTTGGTTCGTGTAGTGGGCATGGAAGAGTTCTGATACGGTATTGCGGAGCCCTATTTGAAGCAGACGTTCCGTTAGGGTCCACGGGGGAATGTTCAGAGCCTTTTCAAGAGTCACACGTATGACTCTGTCTATTTTGTGCTCGTCTGCTTTCAATACCCTCAGGTAAGTATAGCTATAAGTTATGCGGCTGATAACAAATGCCTGAATGAGTCGCATTATGCGTTCTTTCATCTCTCATCGTCAGTTAGCCACCCGACTAATCATGCGAGAGATTTGTAGGTAGGACGCTTTTAGTTTGTTAGAAGTTTAGTTAGTTTCAGTTAGAAGTTTGTGAAGAATGATTCGATATAACAGAAAGTATTATGTCCACAGCCCGTTTGCGACAAGTGTGATAGGATGGCGAGGGTCACATTGTCGAAGGTACACTGCAGCTCAAGTGTGAGAACCACTTTATCGTTGCTGGGGGTGCTCAATGTGATTGAGGATCTCAACGTGAAGTTGCATCAGGGTATCATCTGTAGATATGTGTGGGCGTAGAGCGTACATCAAGTACGCTTTACAGAAAAACATTTTTTCACACACCATCTACGCTACATGGTGTCTGCACAAATGTTTTGCTTTGAAAAAAAAAATACTGACAGTTTGTCGCGGACATTGTTTTCATTCTCCCACACACAAGAAGTGATAGAGATGGGCTGGTGGTTGTCGGTGCTGATGGCTTTACCAGGTTTTAAAGTAAAAGTTACTAGTGTTAACGTAATCTAAATGCATGTCCGTAGGCAGGTTCTGCGAGGTTGACTAGAAGCTTCACCAGCACCTTGACACGGCCAGATGCTCTACCTCATTTCACTTTAGACAAGGCCGCCCTTAGGTCAGGGAGCCTAAACGGTCGACCTAACTCGGTGTTTCTGGAACCTGCATATAAGTACGCTTGACCACGGGGTTCCTTATGTACGCTCAAATATTTTTCGTGGAGTGCATCGGTCATTTTGGACGTGTCTGCGTGAAAAGCTATGTTTAGCCTTTTGAAGGCGGTACTGTGTAGCGGTACAGGTTTGTGCCAGACCAATAAGGACGCAGAAGAGGCACCACGTACGGAGACTCCACATTTATCGAGCTGCCCGGTTATATCAGTCCACTCAATTGTTGTCGGTTAGTTCAACGCAGTACTCAGCCACCTGTTGGGTGATCTCCGTGATGCGAATTTTGTGTTGCTGATTGTGTTTTTCACGATGCCAGGCTGTGTCATGCCTCCAAACGGCAGAAGAGGTGGTTGTCCCCAGCCGTGTTCACCTCTGAGAGTTCGACATTTTGTTCCACTGATTTCAAGTTTCATACCGAATGCTGGAAACACGCTGAGCATCTGTGGTCGACTATCAATGGGGGGCTTGATTAGGTAACTATGAACCTCTTCTAATCGGCTAGTTTTGTGCGTGCCAGTGGTCTCATGATTGGTCTGGTAAAAATTGTAGTGTCTATTATGCGAACGTCACTTCCGCGGTGGTGGTACAATCTGCACGGCGACTATTTTGCGTAAAGGTTTGGTCCAAGCAGGCATCTTGTGTAACAGAGCTTCCTATACCAGAGGGTTGCGCACGATCTGTGTGAAGTGTTAGCCTATTGTGGACTCTAGTTTCGCCAACTTACGTCCACGTGTCCCTTCACTTGTGTAAACCCCAAAAGAGCCGAGAGCGTGAATGTCTCGGACGATTATGAGAGGATCCTGCTTCGCGAACTTCAAGGTTACCCTGAAGATTCCTGCAAAGAGAACATTCGGTAGCTTTGGTAGGTAGTAAACGTACACAGTAAATGTTAAGTATGTGTAATGAGGGTTCCTGTTTGCGTAGCGGGCGGTCGACACCATTAGAGTGGAGGAACTTACGCCATGATCCTTCACGTAAACAGAGGTGTAACCGTCATGAGGTGTAACATTCATGTACACAGAAGCATCTCTGGGCATTCCGCTGGTACACCGAGTATAGTTGGTGAGCGTGGCCCCGTGCCCAGGCTCCTCAAGGGTCATTACAGCACGTAGCCCGGCAAAAGTTTTAAGAAAAAGGCGTAGATCGGCAGGCTTGGTTCGTGCTTAGAAAACGAGGCACTTCAACTGTATAAATTGGTTAGGGGTCGAATAGGGTTGCGGGTGATCGCGATGATCGAAGGTAGAGGTGATAGTTCGGAAATAGGAGTGTCCTTCCTACTGGACAGTGTTCAGGCGAGAGGTTGGCAATACTGCGGGCCGAGGGGAAGTATTATTCGGCCCCCCCCGCACAGCATCAGAACCTCACCCCGTGGTTGCTTACTATCCCGATGTCGACGTGGCAGTTTTGATATGAAGTGGGAATTTAGTTCGTAAACTGCCCCCTTGAGACACAATGATATATATATATATATATATATATATATATTATATATATATATATATATATATATATATATATATATATATAAAGTTTTTTACGCTATTGTCAATTCGCGAAGCTTTGGTGAATTTATTTTTCCTCTCTCGTGATTTGGCCTCCAGTCCCCGCTGTGTGGACTTCGTCCAGCTTAAGCCCTCCTCCGCCTGAAGACGTCGCCGACCTTTGGTGTCTGTTACCTTTTCCCCATTGTAAGCGGTCTGCGCCGATACTTTTTGAGGTGCCGACTGGCGTAAGTTTTGAGCGGGCAAGTACGCTTCTCAGGGCAGGCGAGTGGAGGCAACTGAGCAAATACGATTCTTAGGATACATTCCGTAAGCTGACAAACTTTCTGAGTGCTTAACTAAATGCGACATTAATTTGCGTTTCCAAGGTTGATATTCCGGAGTTGGCTTGAGTTTCGAGCACGCTCAATCTCGCCTAAAGTGCCACGAGGGTGCCCGCAGCCTGTCGTGAAGGGTGGTGCCTCTGCTGCGGGTGGTGCAGAGCTGTTTGTGGTTGGGGAAAATTTCGAGGGTCTCTGCGATTGCGTGGCACTGCTGAAAAAAAACACAACATGAATATCACATACTTGAAGGAGTCTCCTCAACACGCGTAATATTCTGTTGCAATTGTGCTTGTTCGCGCCAGGTGTCCAGACATGTCAATGGCGTGCCCAAGATGCATCCTACAGAAATGTGTGATGAATTGCATTGCAAATGAGCCCAGAAAGTAATTAGACGAATAAAGCCATATACCGATCAATAACTTTATCGCTTTTTTTTCTTTTTCTCTTTACAGGTGCTTGACGGACGCGAACAAATGGCAACCCTAGCGGAAGCAAAGGAATCACTTTTCACTCATGAACAAGGTAAATATATTATTGTAAACTTAAAAAAAAACTAAAATAACAGTGGGAACGTTGACCGGAAACGCATGCGTATAATAGCGCAGAACTAGAGCTGTTCACTGGCCGAATTTCAGAGCCCGAGCCTTGCCCAGGCCCGCTGCCGCAGGCACGATGCTGGAGGGCTGCGAACCCTCCCGGTCCAGCCCGACGTACGAAAACAAAAAGTTCGAGCCCGGCCTGGTCTGGCCTGTCATTATGAGGGTTTTCTAGGGGGACAAGATGTGGTTTTCCGATAATGTGGTGTTTTATTCAAACACCAAAGTGAGACATAAGCAGACGGCATATGAAAGTCTTTGTGCAGCAATTACATGTGTAAAAAATTGGCCCCGTATCTGCGTGCAATCTGCAATTGTTGTCGAAAGACTGGAGAGAGTTAACAAAACATTTATTTGATGTTCTGCGCAAGAACATCGGTGAATTATATCCCGGAGGCGCTGTGTTAGAGTACTCGAGCGTGTAGCGGAGGTGAACGAGCGCATCAAGTCACGTCACACGTGAGACATGAGCGCCATCTGGCAGTTTCTCTTGGAAAACAAAGCACGTGGCCGTGCGCGCCCGTCTCAGAGGTTATAGGTGTAGAACGCGAGGCGACGGGTAGGTGCCACCACCATCTCGTCTTAGCAAAGCGTTGGAAACACTCCCCGTTCCGTGCAAGCGTTGCATGGTAAGGGCAGCATGATAAGCGCTATATACGGTCCTTAAAAATTTTTATGTATACGTTTTCTAGTAAGAGTTGCATATGCAGAATATATGCGTGTTCTTATGGTGCCCCAGACATGCGCAATAGTTGCTTTTTTATTGACAATTGTACAAGCATGAACGCTCAACATTGAGCAACATTGGTGGTCGCTGCGGATGGGGTCGGCCGTTTCAAGTACCCGATGTGGGTAAGAGTGGACAAACAGACAAATGTACAGACAGACAGACAGACAGACAGACAGACAGACAGACAGACAGACAGACAGACAGACCAAAATTTTTGCGTCGAAGGTCCGCAAGAAAGACTATTGTCTTTAAAATAAGCTGGCCAAAGACTTGGACTTCAGTGAAGTGTGGCGCTCCTACGTCACATATGCCACCCAACTGAAGCTCCGTTTGCTGCTTGGACTGGCAGCCAGAATTGCCAATATCTTTTTCGCAAGCAAAGCAAGCTTGGAATATTTAGACTGCTTGTTCTTCCAGAAGTTCTACCAACTAATCCTTCCTAGTACCTCAGATGTAGGATAGGAGATTATTTCATGCATAGATAAGCCCCAAGCTTATCTAGTGTAGGTACGCCCTCTCCCCTTACGTTTGAAATGGCTAAAGGAAAGGCGAAACGAAAAAAATTGGCAGATCCCACGTATAGTGGGAATCGATGATATGCGAAGCACGAATGAGGAAGGTTTATATGTCAGGTTAAAATCAAAGCAACGTTACGAGGCGGAGGTAAATTATGCCGTACACAACTTCCATGTCATATTTATTATGTTTGGACGTGTCATTTACCTTCATCGTCTATTCACGCCACCAGATACCAAATTTAGTATATGTGGAGCTAACGAAACGGCCGCGAGCATGCTATGAGTATAGTGTGTAGTCATGTTTTACATGACACGAACATCATGAGTATCATGTTCGGACGTGTCATTCAACTTCGCCGTCTATTGAAGTCTTGCAATACCAATTTGGTATCTGTGAAGCTAGAGAAACGACCGCGAGCGTATCATGAGCGTGGTATGTAGTCATGTTGTTACATGACACGCATCTCTTGACTATCATGTTTGCACCAGGCACATACCTTCGTCGTCCATTCACGTCCCGTAAAACCTAACTTCGAATATGTGAAGCTAGCGAAATGGCAGGGAGAGCATCATGAGGGACCAATATACTGCGACGTAACGTTGACGAGCGCACGCTGGGTGCAGCGACGCTATGCAAGCAAAACGCAAACACTCTATAGTCTGACGCCAGATGCGACCAGTGTCCGTCGGTGCAGCCCGGCGGCCACCGGTGCGAATTGTGACATGCTGCATTTCGCACCAACGACGTTACCAAGAATGCACTGCGTCTGCCTAGCTCGGTGACGAAGGGACGCTGGGCCTGCTCAAACGCGCATGCGTCAAAGCAACGCAGTGCAGCGCGTGCCTGCGAGTATATGCCAGGCACATCGGCGCCTGGCGTGGCATCGCCGGCATGACGCGACGAAACGAATGCTGGAGTACACGCGCACCGGGCCACGTCTAAGTGTATTGGCGCCTTGAGTGTGGCATGTAGTCATGCTCTTACATGACATGCATCTCATAATTATTATGTTTGCACAAGTCTCATACCTTCGTCATCCATTCACGTGACGTAATACCAAATTTGGCATATATGAATCTAGTGAAACCGCACCGAGTGCATCATGAGTGCGGAATGTAATCATATAGTTACAAGACACGCATGTCGTGATTATCATGTTTGGACATGTCATTTACATATGCCGTCCGTTCGCGTCACGTAATACTGAATTTGGTACATGTGAAGCTAGCGAGACGGCCACGAGCGCATCATGAGTGTATCTTGTATTCACGTTGTTACATGACACGCATCACATGATCATCATGCTTGTACCAGTCACATCCATTTATCATTCATTCACGACTCTTAATACCAAATTTGGTGTATGTGAAGCTAGCGAAACAGCTGCGAGGGCATCATAAGTGTGGCTTGTAGTCATAATGTCGCATGACACGCATCTCATGATCATGTTTGTACCAGTCACATACCTTCGTCATCCCTTGGCGTCACGTAACGCCGAATTTCGTATATGTGAAGCTAGTGAGATAGCTGCGAGCGCATCATGAGCGTGACGGGTAGTCATGACTCATGACTTACATGACATGCATGTCATGATTTCCACGTTAGGGTCTGTCGCTTGTGTTCGCCATGCAATCATGTCATACCATACCAGCTTTGCGATATGTCATGTGAACGAGATCACCGCAAGAGGAGCAAGACCATGAAATGTAAATCATGACATTCATGACATACATGTCATGATTTTTTGTTATGACTAGTCATGTATGTTCTTCATACAGTCATATTATGCCACACCAAGTTTGGTATCGACACCATTATCCAAACGGCCAGGAGAGCTAAAAGCCGTAGGCGGCTAGATAGATAGATAGATAGATAGATAGATAGATAGATAGATAGATAGATAGATAGATAGATAGATAGATAGATAGATAGATAGATTGACAGACAGACATACAGACAGACAGACAGACAGACAGACATACAGACAGACAGACAGACAGACAGACAGACAGACAGACAGACAGACAGACAGACAGACAGACAGACAGACAGACAGACAGACAGACAGACAGACAGACAGACAGACAGACAGACAGACAGACAGACAGACAGACAGACAGACAGACAGACAGACAGACAGACAGATAGATAGATAGATAGATAGATAGATAGATAGATAGATAGATAGATAGATAGATAGATAGATAGATACGCTCAAAGTCGCCGAAGTTCGCTAAGAAATGCTTCGCTTTTAAAAGGGAAAGGGGCGGTCACGGAGCAGGCGATTCGTGGTGGAAAACAGTTTCGCCTACATTGTGGGCTTGTTTACGGGTCTGCACCTGGCACGGTCCTCCCGACAAAAAACAATGAAGCCCGCGCCCGGCCCGGGCCCGAGATGAGAAGAGGTCAATCAGCCCGAGCCCGGCCCGTGGAAACAGGTTCAGGCTTTCGGGTTACCCTAGCGGAAGCTAAGAAATTGCTTGTCACACACGAACAAGGTAAATGAAATATTCAAAGCTTAAAAAAGTGTGAAAATAAACACAGTTGGGACGTTGAAGGGAGAAGCGTGTGTATAATAGGGCCGAAATATCTTTCCACGGACCGAATTTCAGAGCCCGAGCATTGCATGGGTCTACTTACTGCACCAAAATCCCACCCTAGAACCCGACGAATTTAGAGACCCTAGCGCAGCCCAGCCCACAGGCCGAGCCGTGGTCGGGCTTTCGAGCTACCTGAAGCTCGTGCACACAGCTAGGCGGAACAAGCTAGCCACTGTGTAAATACCTCACGCGAATACATTGTTTTTTTTTACTCACTTATTCACTCGCATGAAGTGGCAATCACGGGTCCGATTATTTAACCCCCGCCCTATTACTTATCAGCGTGGCAAGTCGCCACTAAGCCACTGTGTCAGGTAACAACAAATTTCATAACACGTGAACCATAGCCAAAGTGGTGAAGTTGTTCGAAGCCAGACGTGCAAAAACCAGGCAAATCCGCACCCCGCCCACCGTTTCTTTACGTGACCATCGTTTACCTCAGCTCATTAGGGAAGAGGAAAATTGGTCTCCAGGTAGTGTGCGTCGAAGTATCAGAGTCATGTCAAACTAGCGTATATGGAGAGACACCGTATACGCTAGTGGAGTATGGGGAGTAGCCAGGGTAGTGATTGAGGAGGGGTGAACAAAACGTTTCAGTTGAAAGTTAGTGCTAGTCCCGTTGTGTCTTTATTGTTTCGATCTTCTAGTGCAACGATATATTTTGATGCAATTAACCAGCTAGCCCCAAAAGCTATTAAATCATTCGACGTGCCTAAACAAACACTCTGAATACTGGCGTGTGCTGAAACCACGCACAAATTATGGTTTTCTGACATTGCGTTATTGCCCACCGAATACACTAAATAAATTAATAATTAATTGTGAAAATGTTCGTATCCTCTAATATTTCGAATTTATATATGCTTCATTAGTTTGTGTGTAGTATTACTTTCTGTTTGATTAATTCTTTCTTGCGATGTATAGCATATGCGCTACTGCCTAGTATAAGTTTGTTTAACGTTTTGTTCCGATGCAAAGCATATGCATTGCTGCTTTAAACTTTCCTGTATTTACTTTGCTTTTGCCGTTTTGTTGCCACAGTTGCCATGGGGATATGGGGCTTTGTCAAGCTGTTTT